GGGTGATGTGTGAGAAAACATTTCCGATGTAAATCGCGCCGCTCCGATAATTCACGCGCGGAAGCGAACCAGTTTAAGCAAAGCAGTGTTTCTGGGTATCTCTTTTAATATCACTGCCACAATAACTTTTTAGAAAATTTCATAGATATGATTGTATTCTATAACTATTAAGCTTTCAGAAAATGTATAGGTTGATGGGGTTTTCTTTCAAAGCGCCGGCGTAAGAGCGCGATTTCCAAACACTGTCAATCCACCTACCATGATACCTTAAGGAATTATCTCTTTGAAATAAAAATCATTACTTAGTTCCTAGGATATGTGGGTAGGTTTCACATACTTAAGGCTCTAATATTCATAAGGTAAACGCGCAAACTCTAGCATTCTTGGGTGGAGACGTGAATAAATTAACAATTTCGTGTGTAATTGTAATTGTTGAGCTTTCTTCCTTGTACAGCCTTCTCTTGAGCTTTCGCTCAAGGGGGGAGGGGGAAGGGGAAGGGGTGCTTCCATTAAAACCTTTACCCTTTGTGAACCAAAATCTGCGATTTTCCCTACCCTATTTATGACCTGATCAAAATTCGATACCCTATTTAAGACCTGCCGTAAAATAAATTCCCTAGTTCAGACCGATGTGAAGGGCTTTAGTTGATGGTCTTATCGATGATGAAAAAGTAGCTTCTTCTTTAAAAAAAAACATAACTACTTCAAGACTAGAGTTCAAAAGCCATACCCTACTTGAGACCAAAATAGCCAAATTCGATACCCTATTTCGCGACCTATTTCTGACCAAAAGGGCGTGGCTGCGATCTTAAAAGGAATTTTTTATGTTTGGGAAATCATCAGCCATAATTATCCCAGTTTACACCCTGATCTTCCAACGCTGAAATTCGACAGAGAAGAGCTGTGGCGAAGGCAAATCATCCTTGTATAGACTGTCCGTCAAGTCAGTCGGCTGCTGAGCAGTGACCCGGCTTTTTTCAACCGTCAGTGTAAAACGCAGACTGCGGGCCACGGACCGGGGGAAAAATGGAAAAATGCAGACTGAGGCCGCAGACCAGGGTAAAATGCAGACTGCAGACTGTTCAACTGAATCGAGCTACCATTAAGGTCAGCACACACGAAGGGACTAATTCCTGCGGCCAGTCCCTGAAACTAGCCGTGGGGATAAGTCCCATCGTGTGAACTAGCAGTTTTTACCACAATATCTAGTCGCAGGGACTAAAATTTGGTCTGGTTTGAATTTTTGATACAAGTCCCTGCGACTTGTTCCTCAAAACGCTTCGTGTGAACTGTTCGTGGGACAAGTCCCTGCGACCAGTCCCTTCGTGTAAACTCCTCAGGGGACTAGTTGCAGGGAGTAGTCCCCTCGTGTGTGCCGGCCTCTTTTGAGAGCTAATCGTAGACAGGCTAACCGGAGGGTTTTTCAGGCAAAACCTAAATAGTGATTCAGGCTAACCAGAGGGATATTCAGTCTAACCGCAGTGATATTCAGGCTAATCGGAGTGCAGACTTTCATTACGAGTAGCCTGACCTCTTAATGGTTGGCACTCGATAATGGGTTTACACGATATATACGTCAAATTCTGTAGTCTGCAGTCTGCACCTCAGTCTGCATTTTACCCCTGGTCTGCAGTCTGCAGTCTGCATTTCACAGTCTGCGTTTTACACTGACCGCTTTCTTCGATTACAGATGGCACTGACCCGAGCAAAGCTGAGCAACTTACTAACCCTCGTGGTTAAACCGCCTGAAAATTAGTCGTCGAGTTCTGAAATTAGGGAGTTTAAGCAACGACGACGACGACGCCGAGGACGACGCCTTACAACGCACGTGCACAGCTATTGTTTTGCTCGTCCACACTACGCCGGAGGAATTTGAAACTGCAACAGTCAGCGGTCATTTGTGTTTGAGTAAAACTCGGACTAGGGAATATCATGATTTTCGTGACGTCATCGTTTTCGAGAAGTTTCGTTTTCAAAGTGTTTTCTGTCCACACTAAAACGCAAAGCCAGCTTTTTCAAATTCCTCCGGTTTGAAGAGCGTTTTCGAAAAGCTCCGTTTTCGTGACGGATTAGAGTGGACGGAAGGCCTAACTGGAGAAATAAAACTCCGTTTTCAAACTCCTCCGGCGTTGTGTGGGCGGGGCCTGAAAAAGGTACCCCTTTCAGGCAGAGCCCCACCTTACAGGTAATTATGGGGAGTAGGCTCCCCGGCCGGGGGCTGTGAGTGCCATATCTTCAGCCAAACAGCGCTATTTGACTTTCCACAGGGGGTTCATCAGAACCCTTCGGAACCTTCCCCCCCTTATGCGCCTGATAAAGCAGGAAAATCTGTAAACCCATTTTTCCATTCTTACTACTAATTATGTGTCACGGAATCTACGTCTACAAAATAAGCGGTAAAGTAAACTGCAAGAATTCATTAGGCGTCTGCAATGGAAATAACGTTGTGTGACGAATGCTAATGATGTATGAGGCCTTTACAACAACAAGCTTTATTTCCCCTTTCGGTCCACATACAGATATTTGTGTATCAGTTCAGTATAGTTTGTACAGTGTAATTGTCCGGGTGAGAGTAGTTCTGAAAAGAACTGTTGTTGGTGACTGACGTTTTGACAACCTGAGTGGAAGTCATCTTCAGAGTCAAGTGAATAGTGTTTGTCAGTCGATGATGTTGTAAGTATGGTCCGTTGAACGTGATTGGTCAGTGTAGCCATGTTGGTATTGGCTGAAAGACTCGTGTAAAGTTTGTCATCAGCCATTAGTCGGTTTCGATCCGTCTATTGTTAGTCAAATTGGTCGGTTTTTGGTCCGTCCATTGCTAGTCAAATTAAGTCGGTCTGTTAGAATTCCGTTTGGGTTTGTAAGGCGCCGGTAGTTGTTGACATCTGTTAAGAGGCGTTTGTTCTAGGTTAGTGTACCAGCTTTNGTAGGTTAAGCACTGAGCAGAGTCCCAGTCAATGTTGTGGTTTGTCAGTTGATGATGTACAGCAATGTGATTTTTGGCATCACCATTTCTCGTGGCTCGTTTGTGTTCAGTCAGTCTCGTTTAAGGTTTCCGACAAACGGGATTCTAACAGACCGACTAGAACAAACGTCTCTTAACACATGTCAACACCTACCGGTGCCTTACAAACGACTTATTCATGACAACAACAACAACAACAACAATAACTTTATTAATGTGTCAAATACATTCTAGCCGAGGATAAAAAACCCTCTACTAATAGGGGACACATAAAATAAATAAAGTAACGGAAACGAAACCGACAAACGGAATTCTAACAATTAACAAAGCCCTCAATTGAGCCCTCAGGGCTCAGTTAACAAAGTATAGCATATAGAGTGATTTAAGACAGTCTTGTCATGCTTTGATTTTCACTGCAACGCAACAGAGAGAAAGAAAACCGTCAGTATCTTTTAATATTTCAGGTACGTTACACTGCAAATGTTACTGACAACAGGTGCACAGTGACCAAAAGGTTAGTCTCCTTTGCAGCCATTTTTTGGGATGTCACACAGTGCTCCTCCCTCCTCCTTTGGCGGAGCATTGCGTGACATCCCAAAAATGGCTGCAAGGGAGACTATCACTAGGTGAAATCTCACCACTTTTTCTTCGTAAAGCCCATCTTTGAAGAACAACATATAGGGAGTCTTTTGATCGGAACGATACCCCATGATTGCCAGCATCCCATTTAGGTCATAACTGTCGCTGCCTCCATTAAAGAACTTCCAGTCATCAAAGCTGTTTACGATCCTTACGGCTGCCTTTTGTACATTGGTTTTGAATTTTTCGGCATCATCTGGCCTGCTCTTTTTTTTAAGATGGTCCACAATAGCACGTACGTATTTTTTGAGATGGTTATTGTAGCTATCTTTATCCATATATTCACATTCCTTTAGGTTGCTTGCATCCACAAGATCACAAACAGAGACTACAGATTCTTCAGTATGATCCTCCTCTGGAGCTTCAGCAGACTTGTTTCCACCAATCATATTGTCATCCACTTTAGTGGATTCTGAGTAATGCTAAGGTAAGAAATGAAAACATTTTGGATAAAATTATTGAAGGTTAGTTTCCACCCAGACAAGTGACCAACCGTTTCTTTTTTATTAACTGCCCAGCCTAGGGCTGAACACAGTTCATGTTTCACTTTCAAAGTTAAGTCTTCATTTAGTTTTTTTTGTTGATGAACGCAGACCTATTCTCCTAAGGGGTGGAACATTTGACTCTTGATGGGAGGGGAGGGAGATTTTGAAAAAAACATCCTGCAAGGTGATACTAGTACCAAACAAAATTCATGCATACAACCACTGCCAAAAAAAAATTCATGCATGTCCATTGAGCCCCCCCAAAAGTATGTTAAAAAGATAAAAACTATCATTTAAACACATTAGGAAAAACATTCCTGGTAGGAAAGAGTTAAAAAATGCATATACCAAATCACCCATCCCCACCCCACCCCTGTCAAAAGTCAAATGGTCCACCTCTAATCGGCCAACTCCTTGGATTTGGATAGGCTTCAAATGAACAACAAAGATATTCAATCTTAATTTAAGGTGGTTCAATAGGGTAATCGTAAATGGTGTTGCACTCGCAAGTGTTGTTTTGAATGCCCTTTGGCATTCATTTTTTTTTATACCCAATCCTCTCAAACGTATTACATGTAATAAGCAATGATTAAATAGTGTTTTACTATCATCTCTGTTAAAATTTTGGGTTTTAGTCTTGAATTATAAATGCCCAAACAAATGCTTTTTTTAATGGCTTTATTTGTGATTTTCTTGAATTTCCATCGGTGAAATCTTCCAAAATTTTCACACCACATGGCATCCTGCAGGATACGAATTTTACACACCAAAAAAGTAGGTTTGTACAGGCAATTTTTTCGATTTTTACAAATTTATGTTTTTTACTGCTGCAAAAAAATGTCCTTATAGATTTCCCTGAAAAACAAGCTCTTACTAAAGTAAAATATCTACTATCAGTCTGCCATATTTTACGAAATACTATCAAACGAAACGCGAGAAAATTCACTGTCACCCTTGACTAAAGTTTGTCAAAAATACTCTGCTGCACGTCATATTTTCGACTCTCTTCTTGGAGTTAAGAAATGTGATGAAACCCTCTCAGTCGTTTTTGATATAATAAAGCTCTACATTTGGTTTGCTCTTTCTTTTCTATTTTACTTACATGATTTCCTTCCACTTCATAGAATATACCGTTTTCTGTTACTTTCATTTTGAAACCATTGGTGAACATGTCATCATCTGCAAATTCCAAACGACAAGAAGAAACTCACCATGTAATATAGTAGGACTTGTCAAGATTTTTTCCTTTAATTATTTCCATAAATTTAAAGACAGTCACCCCTGTGTAGATACACTGGGGCCTGTGCCTGTAGGTACCATCAGCGGGGACCTCGGAACCTTGTGTTTGCAAAGAAACAATATTCATGAAAGTAGCTAAGTACTACCCATACACACTCGGATTACGAAAACCAAAAATACAAGCAGTCTGGCAAATTATGTCATTTGTAGTGGTGTTTCTGGATTGCTAAATGGACTATGTTGCTCAGCTGGTGAGATCGATGACAACCTGGAAGCTGTAGAGGATGCTACGAGTGAACTCCAACAAGCTACTGAAACATCACAGTGTAGATGTGCTATATGCGTGACCCAGGATTTGTAGACAATATGGCACATGTTTTTATGTTTCTTTTGATGCTTACTTTTTCTGTCAGTGAAGCCTTGTCAAGCCCAAACAGTGCTTGACCATTATGTCATAGTGTTTTCCATTGTATTTGCATACAAATAGTTAATTTAAAATTTGCAGTAGTTCTATCTCACATATTTTCATTGGGAGCGACCATTATGCAAATTCATATCACCGAACATCTTTCAATTAACTACCTTTAATTTGAAACCCAGCTTATAGCTTCCTTTCAAGGTGCAAAGCTGGTAATCATTGTTATACTTTACTACTCAATCTGTCCATTAAAATCCCTTGATACATAAGCAAGAACTGTTCAGTGCTGCTGGGAATTAAATAACACTTGGCCATCAGACATTGTCCACCCAAATTTCTGAAATATTATTGTTCGAGATAGAATTTTACATTATAGTCGGACATCATGACTGCCCACTGCTTAGTATTTTAGTCAAAAAGATTTTGTCCTATGTTTGCTTTGCTTTAAAATAAGCTGTCCAGCCAAAATAAAGATTTAAAAGGACAGATATCACACCTCATCATAAAAATTATTTCCCGAACACTGCTGTTATTTCCTGTTATTTCATTTTGAGGGTTGACGGTAAAAATATATTGATCTAGCTGTTCAAAACTACTAAGTAGATCTTTCACATGGAAAAATAGTGGCTTGAATACTTGTATTTGAGTTGTATTATATCTGAAAATTATAAATTTTCTTTCTTCAAAGTCACGAGTGTGTTAGTGATCGTGTTCGCAATAAATGTATGGTGTCAATTTCATCCACATTCACTTTGTCAGTCCTTCACATTTACAAAGGGATTTAGTCGTATAGGAAGGTAATATTTTCACAAGTTACCATTCTATCTATTTTTTTAAAGCATGTTCAAATAAATTGCTGTATGTTTTCTTTGTGTGTATCTTCAGATGTTACAATCGATCGAGAATAAACAGCAGTGACGTGCAATGCAGACGGCTATGCGTTTGGAGTGTTTCCTTCAACTTTTAACACACTTTCTTGTCAAAACTATTTTTTCTAGAGGGTATGGGAGATGTACATAATACTTGTGAAAATTCCAGAGG